AGGCTGTTCTGCAGCTACAGTAACAGAGTGCAGAATTACATCATGATGATAATAGTAGGTGGGCCTGATTCTTTCCTCATACCTTTGTGAGAATCAGAAGCAGGCCAAAAATGCACTCTTTTTCCTGGGGTTTGTCCATAGATTAGGGAGTGGGGGAATTCAATTGTACAGAAGTTCATAACACTCATTAATCTCATGTTAATTTACTAACTGCTGTGCACTAACTCCTCCAACACTTAGGGCTACATATAACAACACTTAGGACTTAGCTACTTAAATCCATTTCAGGAAGATGAATTCATAAGTCCCCTAAGGTGCCCACTAGAGGTCAGATGTATAACTCACACAGGACACCTCAAAAAAATACAGTTGCAGCCACTTATAAACCTGCTGAAGAAGAAAGAAGAGGTGCCATATAGATCAGCTAATGGTTAGAGCACTCATTCAGGGCATGGTAAATTGAGGTTCCTTTCCGCCTCAGCCTGCAGATGTGTCTTCATCAAATGTCCCACTCCCAGGAAAGCAGCAAAGGTAGCAGGAAGGTACTGCTCTCACAGAATAGCCTTTGGACTGATGACAAAAGCAGTTTCCTGGGAGATGGGCTTGAATCCATCACGTGGAAGAGAAAATCGAAACAAGGGCTGTGTACAGACATTTGGGCGGGTTAGTGGTAGGTTAGATCATGTTAAAAATGACCATTTGTTCTAAAGTAAATTGGGATGGAGAGACTGGTTCAGGGGGCAAGCAGTCTTCAGGAAAGATTGGGGGGGCAGGAAGGTTGGTGGGGCCAAGGAGGATTTAATGGAATCTGGGAGACTCAGGGGTCTGTGGGGGTGGGAGGCTTCAGGAGTGTGACAGCTCTCTCTCCCCCATGCCCTTCGGACCAGGGGCTATTTTTATCCCACAGATCTCCCCCACCTAAGACAAACAACCCCCTCCCATGAACCTACCCCCTGATCCTTTCTGCCACCCCCCCCGCCAACTTACTTCTTTACCTTCTGGCATCAGCAAATGTTGATAAAAACAGCACCAGGAGTGGCTTGCAGGACAGGGGTTTGATGCACTGGAGTGGGAGTAGGGGGTCTGATTGGTCCATGAGGGAGTCTGTGTGGCGGTAAGGGAAAGGGACAGGGGAATTAAAAATAGCCCAGTACCAGGGTAGAAAAAGCGCAACCCTGGGATGGGGCCAGCAGCTGGGCTTTCACAGCCCTGCAGCTGCTCTGGGGACTGTACTGTACAGTCAGGTCAGTTTTGCTGGATCTGAACTAAGTTAGACTACCTTGGAGGTACAGTTAACTTAGATTGAGTTGGCCATTTTTAGACCCATCTAACTGTCCTGAACTTATCCATCTAAGTAGTATAAGGTCCACACCTGGGTTAACTAAATTAGATGGGGTGGACATTTTTAATTTAACCTTAACCCTTAACCTTTTCAAATGTCTGTACACAGCCAAAGTCTCCTAGTTCCTGGTGAGAGATCTTAACACAGTCATATATTACATGACATATATTACATGACATAGAATAGTCATATATTATCATAACCTCCTATCCTAATAGAAAAGTATGAATCCTGCTCAGTTCTTTGAAAGAATTTATGGAGTTATCTGAGAGTAAATTTGACAATGATTGGAAGTGCACAGAAGTAAATTGCTGCACCCATATTAGAGGTTTACAATTTCTAAATCAAACTTTTTTTAACTGGACTTTTGCCTCTGTAAATTGCGGGATGTTTACTCTTGTGCTGGCTTTTCTAAAAGCTTTCACCGATGTTAGCATTTTATAGTTATCCCATGCTTTAATACAGCTGGCTCATTTCTTTCTTAGATGCTGAGAAGCAGATTGCAGTATTGACTGAAGAAAGACAGTTCACAGTGTTTTCTATTTATAAAAGGTTATAAAATATTTGCAGATCAAGAAGAGGCTTTGTTCTGGGAAATTTTAAGTAAGATTATCCCATGGTTTAAAATTTTCAGAAAACTACATACAACCATGCCTCTTCCAATAGTAAAGTTATGAGTTACCAAGACATTTTCAAAAGGCTAAAACACTAATATTTTTAGTTTAGCAAGCCAGTTCTACAACACTATTAGGTGCGTCAGTCCTTTAACCCTTTATCAGTTCAAACATTATATAGTACAATTTTTTGCCACTTTAAAAACATAACTCTTATTGTACATTATTTAAAATAGATAGGAAATCCATGTCGTAGTTTTCCTGACATCTCTTTGTAGATACATTTTCCAAGAAGCTTACAGCATGTAGTTACTCTTTTTAAGCTTCACACTTAAACCTCACATATTTGCCTCCCATCAAATATTTAAAATAATCCCATTTGTCTAACATGGCCCTTCTACTACTAATAAGCTGTGTCCTTTAATTTTCCTGAGCAAACATTTTACTTGTTTTCACAACAGAATACACTAAAGCAAGTTTACCTTCATCCATAGTAAAAAATCTGTAGAGCAACAACAATGGTTCCACGCTGATAAAAGTTAAGCCTACTATGTCAGACTGCTGTACTTCTTGCTAGGCTACAGGATACTGTTTCCAGTGGAAAGTAAGAAGGGTTTTTGATGGATATCAGGTTTCTTGTTCAGGCAGGGGTCAGGGGAACTCTAATTCAATTAAGGGTATTTTTTCATAAATGTTTCCCTCTGTAGCTGAAGGGGAGAAATGCCTGGTTTTATTTAGGAGGCTTAGTTTTAATGATCAAGTGAAACTCAGTATGTAGCAAATTTGGCTAAAATTCAGAATTATTAGGGAGGCAGTTTTCTGATATTTTTTATTGGATCAAAATGGAGTTGGGATAAAGTTAAACAAACATTTACATGCAAGACATTCTTCATCAGGTCTCTAATCACAGGAAGCCAGACACAGCACAGTGAAACACAGCAGAGAGGAGGAGCTGAGAGAAATTCTCAGGAGTAGTAGATACACTGTTTGAAGAAGAAATGAAGCTGGTTCCTGACCTATCAAAAGGAATGAAGCCATTCTTACCTTTCCTGTGTGAAAAGAATGTAAGATTTGGGTAAAATATAATGTGCCATAAAACCAATATCA